TACCTGAGGGAAGGGGTGCATTTCTCCAAATGGAGCCAGCCCTGCCTCAGCCAGTTCCCTTCCCATGGAGCTGTGGGTTCCCAGGATCCCCAGAAATGGTACTGGCAGAAGTGACCCGGGCTGGATGCTTGGTGAAGGCCAGCTCTCCCAGGGCTCTGAGTTTGCTGCTGGTGGAGTAACCCTCCTGCGGTCTTCCAGGCCGGAACCCATGAAGAACTCATGAAGAGAGGCGGGCTCTACGCAGAGCTCATCCGGAGGCAGGCCCTGGATGCCCCACCGACTGCCACTGCACATCACAAGAAACCAGAAAGTCCCAGGAACGGCGAGCACAGACCTTGAGAGTCACCGTCTGAGGTTCAGTCTTACTGCCAAGCGTGAGCGGGGGCTCAGCTTGGGGAGCTGGCCAGCATACTGGGGTGTGGCCACCACCGTTGCTCCTCTGTTCACAATAAAACACGGCCCAGCAACTGGGCTGGGAGGTGGACCTCCCCACCCTGCTGCCTGCCACCTCCTTCCCGCCAAGTGCTGGAGTCATTGGTCTGTTCTCGGGCAAGGCAGCCCCAGACTCCTCCGCCTGCGCCTTTCTCTTCAGCCCAGCTCTGCCTGGCTGCCTGAAGCCGCTCAGGTGCCAGCTCCAGGGAATTCTGGCGGGGACCTGGCAATTCAAACCTAGGTATCCTACCCCTTGCCAGGGCCTTTCTTCCCTAGACTAGGGATGGACTTGTCCCCCATCGCCTGTCTGGGAGAGGGAGCCTCACCTTGGCCCATCTTCCAGACAGCCTCTCCTCCCACTAGGTTTATATGTGGAGGAGGGAGGAGGTGAATGCTGGGGCTTGAACTCAGGGCCTGGGTGCTAAGACTAAGGGTAGCTTTTTCTTTTCTTTTTTTTTTTTTTTTTGCTTATGTGGTGTTGAGGAATTGAACCCAGGGCCTCATGCATTGCAAGGCAAGCACTCTACCACTGAGCCACCTTCCCAGCCCTAAGGGTAGCTTTTTCAATCAAGGCTGGCATTCTACCACTTGAACCACAGCTCCATTTTTGGCTTCCTGGTGGCTAACTGGGGATAAGAGTCTCATGGACTTTACTGCCCCGTCTGGCTTTGAACTGGAATCCTCAGATCTCAGCCTCCTGAGTAGCTAGGATTAAAGGCGTAAGCCACTGAAGCCCAACAAAGGGCCTAGATTTTTGAGTTTCACCTCCCCTCCAGCAGGACAGATGCCTGCCCACCTGGCTCTTGGGTCAAGTTGGGAGGGGTGGGGCAGGGTGGCCCAGTCCCATCAGTAACTCCGCCTACCTGGCTGAGCTCTCTTGGCTTTGCTCTGTATACCTTAAGACTCTGGCCTGATAAGACTGTGGGCAGCCTTCCCTGCACTGAAGGAGGCTGAGAAGGGATTGCTGCACACCCAGAAGGCTGGGCTGCAGAGCTGTAGTTGCAAGTAGGAAGCCAAAGGGAGCAGTTAATGCAAATGCAGTGTGAAGTTGGGCTGAGGAACAGGGAGGTTCATGGAGAGGGTAAGATGGTAGCATCTCCTTGAAAACAAATGGGCAGGTCTGGTACAGTGGCTTACACCTGTAATCCCAACTACTCCAAAGGGAAAGATCAGGAGGATGGCAATTGAGGGCCAGTCCAGGCAAAAAGTTAGTGAGACCCTGGCTTAACAGGGTCTCACCACGCCTTCTGCACCAAGCCTGTAATCCAAGGTATTTAGAAGGCTATAGGTAAGCTCTTAGTCCAGACTAACACCAGGCAAAAATGTGAGACCCTAGGGGGTGGGGGGCAGTGGGGTGAACTGATTGAGGCAAAAAAGGGATAGGGTAGGGTTCAGGTGGGGGCAAGTGTACCTAACAAACCATAGGCCCAGAGTTCAAATCCAGTTATTTCCAGAAGAAAGAAGGACTCACACATGGAATCCTAGCAAATTGGGAGGCAGAGATCTGAGGATTACAGCTCAAAGCCCGCCCAGGCAAGAAAGTCCTAAAGACACTTATCTCCAAATAACTACCAGGAAACTGGAAGTGGACCTGTGGCTCCAAGTGGTAGAGCACTAGCCTTGAGTGAAAATGCTCAGAGACAGCATCCAGGCCCTGACTTCAAGTCCCATGCCTAACAACAACAAAAAAAGAAGACACCTGTAATCTCAGCACTCCGGAGGCCCAGGCAGAAGAATGGTGAGCTGGAGCCAGCCTGGCCTACATAGTGAATGTGGGCAGACTGCCTGAGTGCCAAGACTGGCCCAAAACTGAATGAGGCAGGTCTAAGTCCCACTCAGCTTCTCAGGGGCTAAGGAAATGACACCGGAAAGACTCCTGCACTGAGCTGGGGGTGGATAACCAAGAAGTCAGGACCTGTGCCTCTGTACTGCTGCACCAGCCCTTCCCCAAGGCTGTTGGCTGCCTGCTTTGGTTTCTCAATGGGAACTGTTCCCCATCCGCCATGTCTAGGCTCTAGGACTCCAGGGTGCCCTCCTCCCCAGGGGAGGGGAAGAGGTGCTGCAACTTCATAGCAAGCCAAACAGTTTAGCCTCTTCTATGGCAAAGAAAGGTAGTTTAGCCTTTCAAGAGTGGTGGCAACAGTGTGCAGGTAGAGCAGACAGCTGAAGCTGGGAGGCCAGCCTGGAGGTGGCGTCAGTGCCCCAGGTATGCCTCAGGAACCAAGGTGATACATACTCTCAGCCACTTGTGGGCACAGTTTAGAACCAGATGCTTCTGTGGGGGCAGCCACCCCCAGGTCCCAGGACCATAATGCCCTGGGGTTTAGTATACTGCTTCTTGACTGATCAAAGCCCAGCACTGGATTAATTGGCTTGTAAACTCCTCCAAAAGCAATCCAGAGAAGGGCCTTCGTTTCCTGGCTGGGCCTGGCCTCCTTCCGGGCCTCGATGTTGCCTGGCCCCCCCTCACAGGCCAGCCAGCGAGGTGCCTCGCATGTCACATGCCCAGCCACCAGGCTCAGGCTGCCAGGTTTGGGGGCTCCTTACAGCTTCGGATGGTTAAGGATGGTCTCGTAACCCGCCTCCCCCACCTCGCTCACCAGCCATGTGATTTACCTTGACCTTTCTGTGCCAGCCACTCGGGCCAGCTGCAGTCTGATTGCTGATTGCTTTATCTTGAAAGCCTCTTCCAAGATTAAATGGGGGTAATTTTCCATGAAGTAAAAACTCAGAGTTTGAATAGGTACTACATGCCTGGGATCCTAACCCTCAGGAGGTATGGCAGGAAAGATCTTGAGTTCAAGGCCAGCCTGCACTGCAGAAACCAATTACCTATCTCTAAATCAAAACAACAGAATGATCGTGGGGCAGTAGTTGGGAGAAGTGGGCACAGCTGTGCTCCCAGCCACTTTCCACTTCTTGCAGAGTTACACACTTGTCCCATGCCACTGAGCCTGGGGCACCCCCCCCCCCAAACACACACAAGCACAAACATGAGGGCTCGTCAGGAACAGTGGGCAGACCAGCAGTTGCAGCACCACAAGGTCACCAAAATAAATCTGGAGGCCCCCACTGCTTTTCAGAGAAATGGGGTAGAAATAAGCCTCTGTGAGCTAGTGGAGGTAAGTTTGCTTCTCAGGCATCCAAGGAAGTGCTGCCCGGTTTCCTGACAGACACGCAGGGCACATGAACATTCAGGACAGCGCTGGGCGTGACCGGCCAGGCCTGGCGGGCAGTGCCCTGCGCGGGGCCTCCCTGGGGCTCCCGGACTCTGAGCTGCTCCTTGTCTCACTTGGGGCCAGCTAGCACTAACCTTGTGGCCAGTGGCTGTTTCGGGAAGTCTCTTCCAGCTGCTGAGGAATTCCCTCCACCATCACAAGTGGCTGTGCTCTCTGGAGGACACAGCAAGCCGGCTCAAGGGCGTGGAGTCCCCGTTCAGAACAGACACTCGCTCCCCGATACTGGTGGCCATGCAAAGTCGCTTAGGTGCTGTGGAGAGGGGGCCACATCTATCAGATTGTAAAGGCAGTGGCCTCTTGACCCCGTGGTTCTATTTCTGGAGGCTGATGTGTGTGTGTGGATACACATAGCAGCACTGCTGCGTGGCCCTCGGGGCCTGTGGTTACCCAACACATCCCCTAATGCAGTAGGATGCAGCCACTTTCCAGGGACTTGTAGGTCTAGCCCGTGAAAGAGCAAGACAGCCGTAGAGCGCCCCTGTTCCTGGGGTGGCTGTTATTAGAGAGGTGGGGTGGGACGCCTTAGGGGGACAGGGCCACACAGAATGCAGAACACCCCTGATGCAGGGCCCCTTGGCATCCAGGGTAGTCTGGGGTGCTGGGGGCACAGGAGGAAGACCTGGGCCCCTGCCAAGTCCCACCACTCTCCAGCTTGGTGAGGGGCCAAGTCCATTCTGAGAAAGAACAAATGATCCCAGACGGGGGTCATGGGAAGACAGGAGAAAGGGACTGGACAAAGGGTCAGCAGCTACCACCAGGCCTGCTGTACAGTGACTTCAAGGAGACCTCGAGGGTCCCAAAGGCACCCCTTCACCCCAGTGTGCCTCCGGGCTGGCAACTTGTGCCCAAGACTGCTGCGGTTTCCTCCTGGCGCCTCTCATCTCTGACAGCAGTGCCCGCCCCCCACTCTGCACTAATGGCTCAGCCTGGGCCCCAGGGACCTCCCCTGCCCCCCCCCCCGACTTCTCTCTCGGTCCCCTTTCCCCCCTCGCTGCTGAAACTCAATCCTCTGCCGCAGCTCTAACTCCACACAGCTCCACAACCCCTACCTGCATCGCTGTCTCGGACAGAGCCACGGCACGGCGCGGCACAGCACAGCAGAGCTGCTGCGCGATCTGGACCCAGCCTGGCTGGACCACCAGGCCCCATCAACCCAGCAGGCCAGTGCCTCCCCGCCTCTGCCATTCGCTCCTCTCCCAGCCTCTCCTCTCCTTGCTTCCACTCTGTCTGCTTTCCTTACCTGCCTGGACGCCTGAATTCTGTCTTGACCAGCCTTCCAACCTACCCTCCCTCGCTCTGCTTCCAAGCGCCCCTTCCCAGGTTGTCGCCATGAAGCCCTCCGCAGGGCTGGAGGAAGCCCGCCGGCCAGCCTCGGACATCCGGGTGTTCGCCAGCAACTGCACCTTGCACGGGCTGGGGCACATCTTCAGCCCTGGGAGCCCGACCCTGCACAGAGGGCTATGGGCCACAGCCCTGCTCCTGTCGCTGGCGGCCTTCCTCTACCAGGTGGCTGAGCGAGTGCACTACTATAGGGAGTTCCACCACGAGACTGCCCTGGAGAAGCGGGAGAGCCACCGGCTCACCTTCCCAGCCGTCACCCTGTGCAACATCAACCCCCTGCGCCGCTCCCGCCTCACACCCAACGACCTGCACTGGGCCGGGCCTGCGCTCCTGGGCCTGGACCCGGCCGAGCATGCTGCCTTCCTGCGTGCCCTGGGCCAGCCTCCTGCACCACCCGGCTTCATGCCCAGCCCCACGTTTGACATGGCACAGCTCTATGCCCGCGCCGGCCATTCCCTGGAGGACATGCTTCTGGACTGCCGCTATCGTGGCCAGCCATGTGGGCCAGAGAACTTCACCATGGTGAGCTGGCTGCCTTGTCAGCCCGAGCACCCCTTAAGTCAGGGAACCCTGACCCCCACCCCCCCGGCTGGGCATTCCTTCCTCCCTGAGGACATAGGCCCCCTGCCCCAACAGGCTATTCCGTCCAGCCGAGGGAATGGCCCTCTTGCTGGGCCCTGCCCTGTGTGCCCGGTGTGCAGCAATGTCAGACTGCAAGCCCAAGAATGAGCCTCGAGTCCCTGCTCCTGGGGAGCAGACATGTCAGCCGAGAATGTTCTGCCAGGAGGAAAGGACCCTGCCTCATTGTTATTCTTCCAGTCTTAGAGGAGGGCAACCGGCCCACTTCCCTTTGCCCCCACAGGGCTGTACCCTGGGCTTTGGTGGGAGGGAGAAAGGCCTTAGAGCGATAGATGAGGGGGTGGTGGTGAGAGTTTCCCAACTACCGTGTTGATCTGTGAGACTGGAGCCATGGAGATGTGGGCTTCAGAGTTCCAACCGGAGTTCCCATGCCACTTGCTAGCCTGAGGGCCAGCTGTCACTTGGTCTTGGGCTCCTCCCAGATCTTCACCCGGATGGGGCAGTGCTACACGTTCAACTCTGGTGCCCAGGGGGCAGAGCTGCTCACCACTCCCAAGGGCGGCGCTGGCAATGGGTTGGAGATCATGCTGGACGTGCAGCAGGAGGAGTATCTTCCAGTGTGGAAGGACGTGGGTAGGCACATGTGTGGGGCTCCAGGGGAGGGGTGTGGAGAGGAATGAATGCATGAGGCTGGGGGTCTGCCCATGGGGAGCAGGGTGGGGCGCACTGGGAGGCTGGAGGCATAGAAGGGGTGCTAGAAACTAGGAGGAGGAGAGGGGAGGTGCACGGGTACAGGTGGCTCAGGTCTGTAATCCTAGCTACACACTGGGGAGGCTGAGATCTGAGGATCACTGTTTAAAGCCAACTGGGCACCAAAGTCCAACAAGACTCCAATTAACCACCAAAAAGCTGGAAGGGGAGTTGTGGCTTAAGTGGTAGCATGCTGGTTTTGAGCAAAAAAAGCTAAGGGTCAGAGCCCGGAGTTCAAGCCCCAGTACTGCACAAGAGTGGGGGGTGGATGGGGGGGGGCTGGGCTGGCTGGTCCCAATTCTAGGGATGGGCTGAGAAGGGAAGTCTTAGTGTGTGTCAGGGGAGAATCTCAAGCCTCACCCCCTTCCCCAGAAGAGACCCCTTTTGAGGCCGGGATCCGTGTGCACATCCATAGCCAGGAAGAGCCCCCTGCCATCGACCAGCTGGGCTTTGGGGCACCCCCTGGTCACCAGACTTTTGTGTCTTGCCAGCAGCAGCGGGTGAGCTCCCCTGTGCCGGGCCTGGCCTCTCCCCAGGTGACTTGATGCCAGTGACCTCCTGACCCCAGTGACCTCCTCTCCCAGAGCCTCCCTAACCCCTTCCTCCACAGCTGAGCTTCCTGCCACCGCCCTGGGGCGACTGCAGCTCGGTGTTTCTGGATCCTGACTTAGACCCGGAGCCCTCTGACCCCCTGGGGCCCCCCACCCCAAGCCTGCCTTATAGCCTAGTAGGGTGTCGCTTGACCTGCGAGACCCGCTACGTGGCTCGGAAGTGCGGTTGTCGCATGATGCACATGCCGGGTAAGAGGCCGGATCTCCGTGCGCCATGGGGAGGCGCTGGGGCTCCCGGAGCTCCCGGCGCTGAGCCCTCTCGCTGCGCTCCCCAGGCAGCGCGCCCGTGTGCAGCCCCCAGCAGTACAAGGACTGCGCCAGCCCGGCCCTGGGTGAGAACCGAGGTCCCCCAGTCCCCCAGACCCCACCCCGCCCCACCGGGCCGCCGCCCTGACCCGGCCTGTGCGGCCCGCAGACGCCATGCTGCGGAAGGACGCCTGCGCCTGCCCCAACCCGTGCGCAGCCACGCGCTACGCCAAGGAGCTCTCCATGGTGCGGATCCCCAGCCGCGCCGCCGCGCGCTACCTGGCCCGGAAATACAACCGCAGCGAGGCCTACATCGCGTGAGTGCCCGGCCGGACGGGGCCCTGGCGGGCACACGGGGCCCTGGCGGGCACACGGGGCCCTGGTGGAGAACGCATCATCGGGCTGGACCTGACTCTCTGTACTCATAAGCTCCAGACAAACTGCCAGAACATCCAACCCAGGGCATGGAAATGGCCCAGGGGTTTGGGGGTGTCTTTTTTTTCCTGTTTTTATTTTCGGCGCTGGGGCTTGAAGTCTGGGACTGGGCGGGGTCTGAGTTTTTGTGCTCAAGGCTAGTGCTCCCCCACTTGAGCCACAGTTCCATTTCCATCTCTTGCGGGGTTCGTTGGAAATAGTCTCATGGACTTTCCTGCCCCTGCTGTCTTGGACCCGCGATCCTCCTATCTCAGCCTCCTGAGCAGCCAGGATTACAGGCGTGAGCCAGTGGCTAGTGGCCCAGGGTTCTTGAAAGGAGTCGGAGACTCCCCCCACCCCCGCATTGGTTGCTGGTAGTTGGCCCCAGAGGCAGAGGTGGGTGAGGTCCAGCGAACAGCCAAGCCTTTCATGTCCTCCAGGGAGAATGTGCTAGTTCTGGACATCTTCTTTGAGGCCCTTAACTACGAGATGGTGGAGCAGAAGAAAGCCTATGAAATGTCAGAGCTGCTGGGTGTGTGCAGAGCATCAGGGTCCGGGGAGGGGGGGAAGCAGGGAGCCCCAGGTGGCAGGGAGCTGACCTGCTCGGCCTCCACAGGCGACATTGGGGGCCAGATGGGGCTGTTCATTGGGGCCAGCCTGCTCACCATCCTGGAGATCCTGGACTTCCTCTGTGAGGTGGGCAGGGCTCCATCTGGCCGAGGGAGGGGGGCAGGGAAACCAGGCCAGGAGGGGCCAGGGGGAAGAGTGGTGTTGGCCATGTCTTCTTGCCACTTCCAGGTGCTCCATGACAGAGTCCTGGGCTATGTCTGGAACCAAAGACGCTCCCAAAGGCATTCCAGCACCAATCAGGTAACAGCCCCTTTCCCTCCCCACCTGCCACCCCCAGCAGGGAGCGAGGCCCAACCCAAACCAAGACTTGGCCTACACGTGGGGGGAGATGGTGTGCAGTGATCTTGGCTGATCCTGGGAGGGGAGGGGCTTGGCAGAAGGAAGGTGGAGTCCTCTTCACCTCTGAACCTTTCCCTTCCAGTGTCAGGAAGGGCTGGACAGCTATCAGGCCCATGTTCCGCCCCTCAGCCTGAGCCACAGGTAACACAAAATGCCCCGCTCCGCTAAGGTCAAGGGAGGAGGGGTAGGGCAGGATGTTTTCCTGCCTCAGTGCTGCCTTGTCCCGCCAGGCCTCCCACCAAGACTCTCTCTGCCTCCCATCGCACCTGCTACCTTGTCACCCGGCTCTAGACCTGCTCTCTGGGACCTGGATATTCTGGACGTGTCCAATCGACAAGTGTTTTTGATGTCTTGGCCCAAATAAAGCCCTAATGTATGTGTCTGAGTTGTTGGTCTTGTAGGGCAGAGGTCAGGCCTCCCTGAGGAGTCCTCTGCCAGACTTCATCCATCTGAAATTTAGGAGGGACCCTGGTCCGAGTCTCCCTGAGAAGGGGAGGGAAGAGGATTATCAGCCATTTGTACCTCAGTGGGAATCAGACTTGTGCAGAGAGCTGGGCACCCAGTGCCGGCGTGACCGCAGGCACCGACTGCATTCCCAGCATATAGTTAGAGGAAGCGCAGCCTAGAGCCCAGTGCAGAGGAAGAGAGGCAGGGTGAGCACAAAGGGCGGTGCCACAGCTGAGAACAGGAGCTGCCCGCTGGCCTGCCTTCCAAGGTCATGATTCCTTTTCTCACATTTAGGACCAACTGTGGCTCCAACTCGCTTTGCCCAACCTCCCCATGAGGAGCTGAAGGCCCTAGTTTGGGCAGGAGGGACTTCCACTCCCCCTGCACGTACCTGGAAGGACACACTGGGCCTTGGCCAATTTCCCTCTTCTGCTGGAAAACTAAGTAAGGGAGTATAGGAGAGGTATTCCCGGTGGAATCACATCTTTGGGTCTCTCCTGCCATAGAGTGAAGGGTCCACATGAACTGGGGAGAACCACAGGGAGAGGCCAGGCCCTTAGTCCCGCCCCTGTCTTTCCTCACAGATGCCAGGTGCTGTCCTCCTGGCCGAGGGAGGCAGGCCATCTAGGAGTGTGGGGGAGGCAGCCTGCCCTGACCCTAGCGGGGAGGAGGGAGGGGCGAAGGTCATGGCCTCCTGCTCAGGCTACAGAAGAGTAGACAGTTGGGGGTGTCTGAGCGGGGGCATGGTTGGGAGAGCAGGGCCCCCACCCCAGTCCCCTTCAAAGCCACCCACCACCACATCAGCAGACTGTGGGAAAGGAGCCAATTTATGAAATTAAATAAGTCCATGGAAGGAGTGAAAACTGTGGGCCAGGGCCCCTCGGCCCTGGCTGGACCCAGCACAGCTGGTGCTCAGCACCCCACACCATCCCCCACTCTTCCTCCCCTCCCAGGAGGGGGGCTTAAATAGGCCAGGCCCCTGCCTGGCAGCCAGGGGTCCCAGGACCTAGGGGGGGCAGAAGTCAGAGAAGTAGGGGTGCTGCAGGGCCTCCTCTGCTGAGATGCGCTGCACAGGATTGCACTTCAGGAGGTTCTGGAGATGGAGGAAAGGCGGGGCAGGCTCAGGCCTCATCAGGTTCTTGTGGAGTCCCTCCTTCCCATAGTTCCGCTGGACAAGCATCCCATCCTTCCTTCCTGGGCACCCTACCTGCAACAAGTCCCTCCCTGTGGCATTGAGCTTGGGCACGACGTTCACCAGGGACGTGGTGGCTGGGTACATCGGGTAGGGCTGCAGAAAAGTAGGGAGAATCAGGCCAGGGAGTAAGACTGCAATGGCCAAAGGGACCATCGTGAGCCATCACCTTTTCCCTGCTCCATACCCAGGCACACCTTATAGTCTGGCAGCTTGGTCATGGCAGGCCACTGCTCTTCAGTGGGTGTCCCTAGCAGCGTGTCCATGGGGTCAAGGGTCACTCATGAGGAAGGGTGCTTCTGCACCTCAAGAAGCAGGGTGTGAAGCGGTCTTCCTTCCTGGGCCAGAACCCTTACACCTGCCTCCCCTCCTCCCTCCACCCCAGCCCAGCGAGTGACCAGCGCGTTCATCACGCCTGCCCAGTGTTGTCAGCCCAGCCTCCGCTGTGTGCGGTCCAGAGCCGGGTGTTCTCTCACAGACTGCTTGCCCTGTCCTCCCTTTTTTTTTTTTTTTTTTTTTAAACCCATCATGGGGCTTGAACTCAAGGCCTGGGCGCTGTCCTTCAGCTCTTCAGCTCAAGGCGAGCGCCCTATCACTTGAGCCACAGCACCACTCCTGCTTTTCTTTTTCTTTTTTCCGGTCCTGGGGCTTTAGCTTTGGGTCTGGGCACTGTCCCTAAGCTTCGTTTGCTCAAGGTTAGCACTCTACCACTTGACCCATAGCACCACTTTTGGCTTTTTGTGTTTATGTGGTGCTGAGGAATTGAACCCAGGGCTTCATGCATGCAAAGCAAGCACTCTACCACGGAGCCACATTCCCGGCCCACTCTAGTTTTCTGAGTGGTTTATTGGAGATAAGAGTCTCATGGCCTAGCCCGGGCTGGCTTTGAACCATGATCCTCAGATCTCAGCCTCCTGAGTAGCTAGGATAATAGGCGTGAGCCACTGGGGCCTAGCTTGTCCTGGCTGCTTTATCCTAAGGATTCACCTCTGTCTTTCAGCTGCCTCCCCAACGGGGCTCTCCTTTCCTACAGTGTGCAGCTCTCCACCCTCAGAAGCCCCAGATTCTCCTCTTGGCCCAGCTATCACTTGGCTCACTCTTGGTCCAAGCTCCCAACCACACCCCTTCCAGAAAGAAGATAAAGATGGCAGAGCAAAGACAGAAGGGTCAGGGAAGCGGAAGGATATCGGAAGATCCTCTTCAGTTGGTCATCGACATCGTTGCCAGGGAAAAGAGGCCGCCCAGCATTGGCCAGCTCTGAGAGGAAGAGAAGGGAGAAGCCATGACACATGAAGCACCTCTCGCTCGAGGTGCCCTGTGCCTGCCAGCCCAGCCCCAGGATCCCCACTCTCTTCCTCCATAGCGGACCCTCTAGACCCCATTTGTCAACCCAAATGGGAAAAACAAGTCCCTCTACAGAGTCCCCCACATCACCTGCAAAGATGCAGCCGGCTGACCACATGTCGATGGACGTGGAGTACAGCTTGGCCCCAAAGAGGACATCCGGTGGGCGGTACCACAGAGTGACCACCTAGAGAAGAACCCACCCACAGGGACCCCCCTCTCAGAGAGCTAGGAGCAAGGTTGGAGCAGGCTTAGTGGGGAGAGGAAATCAGACAGTGCTGTCACAGGACCCTTGCGCAGGGAAGAGAGGCCGGCTGGGACTCACCCCATATCCCATCTCCTAGGCTCACCTCAGCGGAGTAACAGCGGACTGGGATGCCGAAGGCTCGAGCCAAGCCAAAATCAGCCAATTTCAGCTCCCCATTCTGAGGGCAAATGGGAGGGCACATGGAGAAGGGGCTCTGGAACCAGTTGAAGCAGGCTCCAGCTCCCTTTCTCCAATCCTGCCCAACTTAGAGCTCCAAAACCCCGGCTCCAGCCTGTGTCCTTCCTCCCTGCCCCCAGAGCAGTACCCTGTTTATGAGAAGGTTCTGGGGCTTCAGGTCCCTGTGTAACACATTGCGGCTGTGACAGAATCCCAGGCCTTTCAGAAGCTGGAATAGGAATGACTGGAAAGAGGCAGAGAAGATGGGAGTCATCGCCCTGGGTGAACCAGATGTCAGTGACTCACCCTTGTAATCCTAGCTATTTGTGGAGCTGAGATCTGAGGATCCCAGTTCAAGGTTAGCCTGGACAGGAAAGTCCATGAGACGTTTACCTCCAATTAGCCAGCTAAAAGCTGAAAGTATAACTGTAATCCCTCTGTACATCACCTTTATAATAACAATAAAAATTTAAAGTTAAAAAACAGAGCTGTGGCCGGGCGCTGGTGGCTCACGCCTGTAATCCTAGGTACTTAGGAGGCTGAGATCTGAGGATTATGGTTCAAAGCCAGCCCAGGTAGGAAAGTCCGTGAGGCTCTTATCGCCAATAAACCAGTAGAAAACCAGAAGTCGCGCTGTGGCTCACAAGGTAGAGCCTTAGAGCTGAGGGACAGCACCCAGGTCCAGAGTTCAAGCCCCACGACCGACAAAAATAAATAAATAAAAAACAGAGCTGTGGCTCAAGTGGTAGAGTCAGCCTTGAGAATAAAAACTATACATCAGTGCCCAGGTACTGAGTTCCAGCCCAAGTTCTAGCACACTTGCACACGCGTGTGTGCCCATGCGCATACACACTCATGCGTGTGCGCGCACATGCACCCCACCAACATCCTGGGTAAGAGGCTGTACCCTAAAGCTGGCCTTGCTCCTTCCTCATCTCATGCTGTTCCCTATCTCCCACCCAACTTCCTCTCAGCGGAGCACCATCCAGACACTCTCCCGGCCTCTTGTTGCAAGGCACTGGCCATTACGGTTCTTTTTTTCTTTGTCAGTCATGGGTCTGGCACTGTCCCTCAGCTCTTCATCTCAAGGTGAGCCACAGCACCACTTCTGGCTTTTTCTGCTTATGTGGTGCTGAATAATCGAACCCAGGGTCTCATGCATGCAAGGCAAGCACTCTACCACTGAGCCACCTTCCCAGCCTGGCCATTGCGGTTCTGCTCCCGCCATTCTGGGCCTTACAGGCTGGCTGGCAGGGCTTCCTCTCTTTCTTTCTTCCTTCTCTGTGTGGCTGTACCCCAGCATACACCACATACATCAACAAACTACAGTATAGTGCCGTAGTAATTCAGGAGCTGACTTCCTGAGAACCTGGGCTAAGGCAATTGGTGTTGAGCCTAGAATGGTGCCTGGTACACAGTGAAACATTCAGCAAGTATTGCTTTGGTTTGGCTTCTGAGGCAGGATCATCCTGCCTCAAATTTAATGATCCTCCAGCCTCAGTCTCCAGGGTGCTGGGACTACAGGTGTATACCATCAGGCCCAGCTGGTATCAGTTGAATGAATGTTTATCTAGGAGTTTCCTTATCTATTGAATACAAATAAAATCATTGACGTCAGAGTGGTACTGTCAAAAAGCACCAATGGCTCACACCTGTAATCCCAGCTACTCAGGAGGCTGAGATCTGAGGGTCCAGGTTCAAAGCCAGACCAGGCAGGAAAGTCTGTGAAATTAACTGCCAGAAACCCAGAAGTGGTGCTGTGGTTCAAAATGGAGAGCACTAGCCTTGAGCAAAAAAGCTCAGGGATGGTGCCCAGCCCCTGAACTCAAGCCTCACAACAACAAAAAACAAAACAAAACCACACAAAAATTTAAATTTAAAAAAAAAAGGAGAGAAAGAAGAAAAAACTAAAATAAAATAAAGGAACATGCCCACTAAGCCTGGAGGTTTCTGGAAGGCATAAACAAGGTTCCTCTAATACTCCAACTGTGCACTCCTGAAGTACCTACAGTATATATAGCCCCCCTCCAGCCTCCAGGAGTCCCCAGGTCCCCCGTCTCCTCACCTTCACTATCTCAGGGTCCAGGTCACCATTGCAGCTGTCAAAATACTTCTTCAGGTCCTAGAAAGGGATGAGAGACAGACTTTATCTTCAGCGTGGGCCTCTATACCTCTCAAGATCACCTCCCACCCCACCCCCACAGCCTCTCTTTCACCTGATCACAGAACTCAAAAACCAAAGTCAGCTTCTTGTCACTATGCAGGACATCATGAAGCCTAGAGAGAAAGAAGAGCTCAGCCAGGTTCATGGATGGTCCCTAACACCCCAATACCAGCCCAGTCCAACACGAGGCCTCTAACTCCTCCAACCAGCCAACACAGGCAACATCTGCAGAGCACACACCTGACGATGTTCTTGTGCTTCAGTTCCTTGAGTAGGCAGATCTCCCGGAGTGCTGAACTTGGTACACCCTACACAAGGGAGGGAGCCAGGGGGCAACAGTCACAGACCATCCAGTCCGGACCTCGACCCCCACCGGCCATGTCCTGATCCTACCTCATCATCATCATCCAGCCTCACTCGCTTCAGAGCCACAATCTCATGGGTCTCCCGGTTTTTGGCCTTGAACACTGTTCCATAGGTACCTGAAGGAAGGAGGTCATGGGTAAGTGAAAGGATGGCTATCTTCTCTCTCCAGGAAATCTCTCGGGAGTGAAAGCAGCACTTGAGTGTGCAAGGGAAAGGTTTCATGGTGAAGGCCAGCTTTGTGAGTGAGGATGTGGTTGGTAGGGAAGTACAAGAAGGTGTCATCAGAGGGTCAAAGGTCCTAGTAGGAAGGAGAATCTTCCGAACAGAAATCTATAATGATGGCAGTCCATCAGGAGTGTCTGGGAAGAGTGATGAGTCTGGGAGAGAAATGAGGGCCTGCAAAAATGTTGAGACTGGGGGTGTTCGGCGAACTGAAGCTGGGGTGGAGGTTTGCAAGTGGTGCTGAAGCTAGGCGTGGGAAATGCAGAAAGTGCCGCGGTTGGGAGGTCAGATCTACAGGCTGGGGGTGGGCGTCAGGGGGAAATGATAACGGGGAAATTGGTGTCTGTACGGAGGCTGGGCTCAGCGGCCAGGGCTGCTGCCAGTGCTGAGGTCGGAGCCTGCTGGTATTGATTGCTGAGGGGAGCCAGGGCTGCAAAGAATGCTGAAGGGTCTGCAGAAGACCTGGCAGGAACATCTCGTGGTTCCATTACCTTCCCCAATCTTCTCCAGTTTCTCGTATTTCTGCATCCCGGCGGCCGCGGGGACCCCTACGGGCCCTGGGTTCTAAGACTCCAGCCCGGGCGTTGCAGAGGAGGCGGCACCCCAGCTCCGGCCCCGCCCTCCCTGGTGTCTGAGCAGGGGCTCCTGGAACTTGTAGTCCCTTACGGGCCATGTTTCCCCGGAACGTCTGGAGCGGCTGGGCACTAGAACTACAACATCCAGCAGGCTGTGCCCAGGCAGTCTGCGGCGCTCCACTCCCAGGACCGGGTTCCATCGTGGAGGCTCCCGTGGACTTCAAGTCCCAGAATGCACCGTGCGTCCGTCTTCCGGGAGTCTCCGCGGCGGCGCGCCCGCGACTCCCAGGGTGCCCCGCTCTTGTTATTCCTCTTCGGTGCTCACAGATCTCACCCATTCGGGAACTACGCGTTCCAGAATGCAGCGGGAGTGGGGGTGGGGCGCTCCCTTTGGAGGGTTTGACGGCCCAGATCCCCGGTGCAGTTGGTTACCGATCTGGCTCTGACCTGGTTGGTTGTATTGAGTTCCCAGCGACCTCCTGACAACCTCAGCGCCAGTTTCTACCTTTCCATAGGCCGCCACCCAGTGACGCAGGGTTAATTGAGGGGAAGGCTCTGATCGACGCCTCTCTGATCACTCTGATCACCGCACGGGGACCAGCGGACCACAAGTTTGAGCAGCATTAGAGGCTGGATCCGAGTGGAGACACCCCCTCGTTTCCTGGAGGGCCCAGTTTATCGCTTCCAAGCCCACCGGTCCCCAGCTGCTCCCCTCTGACATGCCGAGGCAGGCTGGCTGGAGCCTGGGAGTCCCCCGGATTCCAGTCTCCAGAGCAGGCCCACTAAGCCAGCCAGGGTGTGGCCCGCGAGGGCCGGCAGGTTGGTTACCCTCCTCGACAGCCACGACCACAGACCGAGGCTGCGCTCGGAGCAGCCTCTACCTCATCCCGTGCGGGAGCTGATTACAGATTTCCTCGCACGGCTCTCTAATTGCCTCGTGATTGCATTCCTGAGGGCTGTGCGCCGGGTGAAAACGCCCGAACCAGAGCTGCTGCGAACCATTGGTTAATTAACTCACTTCTACCCGAGTGTGTGTGCGTGAACCGTGCGATGATTCATCCACGTGGCAGACTAAAGGGAAAAGTGTATTCCTGACCTGAAATAATTTATAATTTAGTTGGGAAAACAAGATTACACACAAAGGTCGCGTTTAAAAGATAAGTGTCAGCTACGAATAGGATTGCGTTCGGTGTGGTAACAGTTCAGAGGAAGGCAGGCGGGGCTCCCCCAAGAAGTCCCCCCGCCCCGTCCACAGCAGCTCAGGACAATGGACAGCCGACCCCCAAGCCCCCCGCTTCTCCGGCCAACACCGGGACTCCTCCGTTGGCTAACTGAGGTTGGGGGCGACGCTGGAGATTCTTAAACCCGGCGTTCCTCTCTTTCAACTCGGTCAGCTTCGAATTTCCGGGCGGCCCCGTGCCGTTGGGTCCCCAGCGTGAGGCGGACTCCTTTCCGCCCAGAGGTGCCATAATAGAGCCGAGAGACGGAGTCCCCCGGGCGCCAGAGTCCCGAGCGGGGAAGGCCGGGTGGAAGCCTCGCGGGGTCCGGCGGGGGAAACGGCGGGGACGCCGCCCCGCCGAGCTGCGGGCGCCGCGCTGGGCCTGGAAGCGCGCCCCCGCCCCCGGCTCGGGGCGCCCGCTCTCCGCCTCTCGGCTGGCCACGCCGGGGGCGCGCACGGCGCGCCGGGGGGCGCGCACGCTGGGGGCTGGCCTGCCCGCGGCGCGGGGGAAAGTTGAGTTGGGAGAAGTTGGGAGTGGTGGGGGCGCGCCCCGGAGCGGGCATCGGGAAGGCGTCGGGAGCGCGCGAGGGTGCCAGAGGACCCGCCGAGACCCCGAGACCCCCGGGGCACGAAATCCAGTGCAAGCGGGTAAGCGGATAGGTGGCGGCGGGGGGAGGGCCCGGGGCGGCGGAGCGAGGAAGGGAGGGGGAGGGAGAGGGGGAACTCGGGACTCGAGCGGGGCGGGAGTGGAAGGGGAGGAAAGGGCGGAGACTGGGTTGCGGGGAGCGAGGTGTCGGGGAGAGGGATGGGGGGGCCGGCGGAGCGCCGCTCGGGGCCGGGGTTCCCGGATCTGCTCCCGGGCGCCCCGGGAGGGGGTGGCGTCCCGGCGGGGCCGCCGCGGCTCCCGCCCTCCTTTGGGCGGGCTCCAGACCACCCTCTCCCCCGAGACTTGCCTTCAGCGCCCCTCAGCCCGGTCGGTCGGGCTTGCTCGGGCCCTCCGCCCCCATCTCCGAGCTGGGAGGCGGAGCCGGGGGGTGGCGGGTCAGGCCAGGACATGGGGTCAGGCCGAAGAGGGAGCCGCTGGGTGGGGATGGGAAACTTGTGGCCCGGGTGTTGGACCTGACTCCTGGGGGCTGGGGGGGGGGCTGCGTGGTCTGGGTGGGGAGCTCAGTGCTGGGGGGGTCGCTGCCTGAAATCCAGGGGCCACTTTGCTTCTCCCTCCTCCCCCCCTCCTCCCCAGGTCCGCAGCCAGAGCTGTGGAATGCACGAATTCACTTGGAAAGTGGTTAATGCCCAAGTGGGGGTCCGGGGTGCTAATCCCCTGGGCCGGGGGAGAGATGCTAATCCCCCCGGGCGGGTTGGGGCTGGCCCCGGGAATGTGCCCCCACCCGGATTATGGGCCCCGGTGCTCTGGACAGAGGCTGCTTTGTGTTCTGGGACAGCGGGGGAGGGGGGGAGGAGTGGGGGGGCGTGGGGAGGAGGAGGGAGGTGTGGACGAGTGCAGAGGACACAGCCGAGGTGGGAAGCACTGCGGGGTGCCGAGGCCTGCCTCCCCACACCTTCTCGGGTGGCGTTTCCTCCCAGGACGCTTCTCCCCCATGCTAGTCGAAGGCCTGCGAGGGGGAGGTGGGGAAACAGTCAGCTGAGTTGGGGTGCCTGCCAGGAACACGTCACTCAGGCTCACCCTGGGTTGACACCCCCCCCCCCACACACACCATTATTCTTTGACCCTATGTCGACCTACCTGTCTTATCCCTAAATAGCTTCAAGTCGAACAACCCCAACCCCCAACATAGAAGGAACGTCCTGTTAATACCTTCAGAGACCCTGCTGGCTGTACTGCCACTAGGAATGGGTACTCCGATTGGCCCTGGTTGGGCTTCCTCCCTACGGCCCTTCTAACTGCTCCAACACCCCACCCCCAATCTCGTCCCCCTGTGTCCCCTACAGTCACCGTCAGGAGGAAGGCAGCCCCGCCATTCATAGTTTCCTGGCTCGGCTTGGGGGGGATGGGGGGATGGGGACTGCTTCTCAGGATTTCTGTGCCCACCCCCTCCAAGCCATCACTCGCCCCTCCCCCACTATAAAGCTCTGTCCAGCCTGAGCCCACTCCTAGCCTTTCCTCCCTCCTACTGAATAAGTAGACCTAGACTTTTGCCCTTCTCCCGCAGAGCGGGCTTCTCTTGTGCCTGGGGGGCTGAGGAGGGGCACCTCCCTACCCACCTACCTTGGGGAAGGGGCATCCCCTCCCAACTAGCCAGCTTCTTGTTTGCCCTCTTGGGTTCTCCGGAGTTCTCTCCTGCACTTTCTGTCTGTCTAGGCATCTGGCCCCCTTCTCCACCCCTTTGCTCGGCAGGGTGTCTCCCTCTCCACCACACCCCTCTCTGGTCTCAGGCCCACCTCCCGTCCCCCACGGCTGGGTTCCTGTTTCTGCCTGGCCCTTTACTCCCGTTCTTTCTTGGTTCCTTATCTCTCCCTCCCTCATCTCTGTTGCTTTCTCTCCTGGGCTGGGTCTTGACTCCTTCCTCCCTCATTTTTCTTGCAGCCTCTCCCCATTCCTCTGTCTCCTCCTCTCTGCTCCTTCTCTGGGCTCCTGGTGGCCCCCCTCACCTCAGTCTTCCTTTCTTCTCCCTCTGGTTTTGTCCATTCTGCCTAGAAATCTCTCTCCCCTCTTCTCTGGCCACCTCTAAGGGCCACTCTGAGGCCCTTCCCAGGCCAGGCACTGTCCCAAGCAGCGAGTAGGCAGTGGCTGGGGGCTCCATTTCTCCTGGGGCCCTGTGCCCTGCCTACATGGAGACCCGGCCTCTCCCCCACCCAGGTTATGCCTCCGCCTTGTTGCCCTGAAAGCCGAAGTGACAGCGAAAAGGGCTAAGATTTGGCCATGAGCAGCGCCCCCAGGCGCCCCGCCTCGGGCGGGGATTCCTTGCACATGGTGAGTACTGTGGTCACCGGCCTCCAGCTGGACCGGGTGCAGGGTGGGCGTTCAGAAGCCCGGAAAAGAAGCTGTGGCAGATTGGAGGGGAGACGCCACTCTGCACCCTGACCTTACGGGAGTGGGAAAGTGCTGGACTAGGTTAAGTGGGGGACAGGTGGCTTTGGTTTTCTGGGAGGGAGTTCAGGCGGTTTCCTGATGCCCTGCATGGTAGTTTAGCTTCAGATGGACAGGAATTTTGGGTCTCATGCGATGACCCCCCTCTGACCGGCGGTGAGGTGTTGCGGTCTGTTGCTGGGAGATGGTTACAGTGCACCACAGTTCTGGGCAGAGCTTGCTGGCTGTCTGGCACCGCCCAGGCCCCGCCCCTGACACCGGGTGCCACCTAGGCCCGCCCCCCACGTGGCCACCTCCCCGCTTGGTCCCCTCCTGATTTTCCTAAGAAGTCTAATGATTAACCCCGGGGCCACAATCAGTCTGGTATTGGTCACTCCGGCCCAGCCTGGCATGTGACTGGGAAGGGGCCTGGCAGGTGCCCTCCTCCTGTCTCCCAGGTTCACCTCTGCCGCCATGGACTTCCTCCTGCGGCCTCAGGTGCGAGGGGTCCTTGACCCACTGTTACCCTGCGCCCCCCCCTCCCCCCGACTTGCTTCCGCCCTTGCTTCCTCTTGCCTGGCTGCTTCTGGTGGGAATGGGGCCGGTTGCTTGGGGAAGCCCGCTGGAGCTGCGGGGCTGGGCTGGGCAGGAGATGTCCCAGACTGAAGACTTCGTGCATCCTCTGCTGACCCAGGCCCTGCCAACTCCAGCTGCTTTGTGTGCGCCCCCACTCCTGCCCATCTCCTCTCCCTAAGACCCACCCTTCTCCTCTGCCTCTTGGCTTTAGTGGCTGGCACTATG